TATTAAGGATCTAAAATGCCTTTGGAATCATTACTAAATTCAGAAAGATTAATGAATGTGCAAAATATTGAACAGAAACAAACATGGCAGTAAAATTTGCAAATAAATATATAAGATATCAGATAAGAGATATCATTCAAGAGAATGGATATAAAATTCTCACAAGATGATATAAAACCCCCCAAATTTTACATAAAATTTACCCTCAAATATCCCCTGTGCTGACATTACATCAAAATGGAGGCTCTCTGCTGCATATTTTCTCGGACTGTCCAGTATTAGCTAATCTCTGGTCTGGCATCAAGACTGCTATTAAAGTGGTTCCAAAGGCTCAAGGTTTTTTACCTTCATACATTCTATCCATGAATGTAAAAAATCTTCTGTGTATAGCATCCCTCCCAGCCCCCCAATACTCACCTAAGCCCCTCTCGATCCAGCGATGTGGACTATCCCAGGACCTCCTCTTTTCATTAACCATTGGCTCCCACTGCTCTTAATCACAGCCAGTGAGCCAATGAGAAGAGAGAGGGGCGGGGCCCAGCCACGGCTCCATGTGTGAAAAAAAAGAAGCCTTTAGAATCACTTTAAAGATTTGACAGACTGCTTTCTTCTGAATATACTAGCAGCTTTCCTTTTACTTGATACACAAATGCCAGTCAAATGTTATAAAAACTACGGTAACTTCTCAAACATCTCCTGAATGAGGCTAAGGCATGCATACCCGCTCTATGGAAAAAAAATTGACACTCCTGCCAACATCAAATATGACAAACATTTTAAACTTTGGACACATTGGTTGCTGTATAGGAATTCTCTCTAAGCTTGTTAACAATAAAAATGTGACTATATCAGAAGAACAATATATTTTCCCCTTCCTCTCTGCTTTTGCCATTTTTTTTTCTTTTTCTTGTTTCTTTTCCCCTCTTTTTAATATACACCCCATAAATACTGCTTATTCTGGAAGACTAACCTTAAACAGAGAACTAGAAATCTACTGAGTATTATATTTATAACATTATTTAATTCATATGTTAGTTTTGATCTATATGTCATTATACTTCCCTAAATAGAGATTTTTATTCATCTTTTATTATTATTATTATTTTTATTTTAGGTACTTGTGTAGCGCCATCAATTTACACAGCGCTTTACATATATATTGTACATTCACATCAGTCCCTAACCCTCAAGGGGTATACAATCTAAGTTCCCTAACTTACATTCATACATACACATACTAGGGCCAATTTAGACAGGAGCCAATTAACCAACCAGCATGTCTTATAGATATATATGTAATATAGTCATTGCAAAAACATGTATTTTCCTAATGTTAATTTGTCATGTTGATTCCCAATATATCTTGGAGAAATAAAGCATTTATATATAAAAAAAGAGATATCATGTGACTTTGCTTTATTAATAAGGAGACTTGGAAAATGATGAATCAGCAATTCTGCTGATTTGATTATCCTCAACTTCAATAGCCACTTAAAATCCTTTTAATACTTGCAAATGTTTATTCAATCTACGTGATTGTGTTCTAGTTGTGCATTGTGATTATTGTCTGCTGCTTCAAACTGAGAAGATTATTTCAGATTTCGTGTCTTGCTTCTGTTTGGTGCATATGGCTCTAATTGATTTTGTGCTTCCATGCCTCCTGTTGAACAGATGGCTCCTATAGTCTCTCTTTAACTCAGATTAGGATAGACCACTGAATAACATTCTAGCCTTCACCTGAATATTGTCTCTTATTGCACCACATTATTTAATAAGCATAAGCAAATTAAATAACATAAATGTCAATCATTTTTTATTAAAGTTGTCATAGCGCCTAACAAGTGCTGGTGCTGAAACAGATTAAAGCACTGCATTATTAAGATTACGGGGCAGGTTTGTAAAAGCAGATACATCTACTTGCACTTATGGGGCGATATGTCACAACCCTCTGCCTATCCTATAACATTACAGCACTTGGTGCATGAGCAGCCAGGCTTGATTGCTGCCTATTGAGTCCATCTATTACAACCTATTGAAAAAAAAAAATAGATAAAAAGAAAACCTCCATATACAAAATCCTTTTTTAATATTATTTATTATTATTAATAAACAGGATTTATATAGCGCCGACAGTTTGCTCAGCGCTTTACATTATGGTGGGAGACAGTACACGAGACAGTACAGTAACAATACAATTCAATACAAGAGGGGTTCGAGGGCCCTGCTCCTTGGAGCTTACAATGTAGGAGGAGTTGATCCAAAAGAAGGCTGAAAAAAAGTTTGGGCTTTTTAGAAACTATGTCTAGGGTTCTTTTTCTGCCTCCTATAAGGTCAACTTTTAGATTGTAAGCTCCAAGGAGCAGGGCCCTCCTAACTCTCTTGTATTGAACTGTATTGTTGCTGTATTGTAAATGGTTAGCACTTCCACCTGGCAGTACTAGGGTCGTTGGTTCGAATCTCAGCAGCGGCACCACCTGCCTGGAGTTTGCATCTTCTCCCTGTGACTGCGTGGGTGTCCTCTGGGTACTCCGGTTTCCTCCCATACTCCAAAGACATGCTGGTAGGTTAATTGGCTCCTGTGTAAAAAATTGTCCCTAGTATGTGTATGTATGAATGTGAGTTAGGGACTTTAGATTGTACGTCCCTTGAGGGTTAGGGACTGATGTGAATGTACAATATATATGTATGTAAAGCGCTGCGTAAATTGACGGCGCTATATAAGTACCTGAAAAAAATAAAATAAATAAAGTCTCCTGTCATATTGTAATGCACTGAGCATACTGTTGGCGCTATATAAATCCTGTATAATAATAATAATAACTAATAGGTTAAGTAATGGTTAGTATTATGGCTAAATTATGCATGTTTGGCAAATGTGAAAGCAGCAATCTGACGCCATTGCCTAAATCTGCCCCTATATAACTATTACAACAACAGGTAAGCTGTGTTGCTTTAACTGCACAGGGGTTGGTTGCAGAGATGGGTCTTAGATTATTTGACTGATTTATCGCCATGACATTCACAGAAAAATTAACAGATCTACTGCGACAGAATGTATTCAAGGTGTGGAATGCTGGGAGTTTCCCAAGCTTGTGTGGTCACTGGGGCGAACCTGGCAAGCAAGATCATGGTAGTGAATCAGGCAAATGAGAAAACAAGCAGATTTTTTTAACGTTTGCTAATTACAGCAATCAGACGTGGTCAAAATTGTTAAATTGGATGAATGTGCTGTGCAATAATTTAAATGTACAATCTAGAACACAGTACCAAAACTATAATTGTAAAACTTTATAAAACTCTGGTTCAGCCACATCTTGAGTATGTAGGATTGCCTCCTCCCATGCTTGCCTCCAGGACTTTTCCAGAATCTCTAACCATCCTCTAGAACTCCCTACTGGTCAGTCCCTACCCTGTCCACCTTTATGCAATCCTTGAAAACTAATTTATTCAGGGAAACTTACCCCACCTCCACCTAAAAATCTGTACTTGAGTCACCTCCATCAGATTATCCCCTGCAGAAATTACCTTTTGTACCACCTCCCCCCTCCCTATTAGATTGTAAGCTCCATGAGCAGGGCCTTCCTATTCCTCCTTTATTGAACTGTGTTGTAATTGCACTGTCCCCCTTTATATCATAAAGTGCTGCACAAATGGTTGGTGCTATGTAAATCCTGTATAATATTAACCACATGCCGCCCAGCCACTGTAGAAATACAGCGGCAGGGCGGCACGGCTGGGCAAAACCATGTTTTAAAACGTGTGTTTTCAAAACAGGTAGGGGGCGCGTGAGGTGCGCTGCCGCCCTACCTGTCCCGCCGATCATGGCCATGGATGTCAGTCGCCGGGTCACAGCCGGGCGATTAGCAGCAATCAGTGACAGAGAGCACAGCTGAAGTAGCTGTGCTTTCTGTCAGTTCCCTGACAGCTCCTGACAGGCTGATCGGGAGAGAAGAGTTTATCTCTCCCGATCAGCGGTGTTCCCTGCAGTACACACCCCCGCCCCCTAGTGAAACACTCCCCTCACACAGTTAATCCTTTCATTGAATAATAAAGTTAACCCCTTCCATCCCAGTGCCATTAGTACAGTTTCAGTGGGTTTTTTTTTGCACTGATCACTGTACTGGTGTCACTGGGGATGTCAGTGACCTAAGTCAGTTCCCCCCCAGTGTCAGAATGTCCGCCGCAGTCCCGCCATAAGTCGCTGATCGCCGCCATAAGTCACTGATCGCCGTCATAAGCCGCTGATCGCCACCATTATTAGTATAAAAAAAAAATTTGAAATCCCAGTATCTTTCACGCCATTTGTAAATGCTATAACTTTCACGTAAACCAATTAATTTTCACGTATTGGGTTTTTTTGTAGCAAAGACATGTCGAAGAATGCATTTTGGCAGAAATTTATGACTAAATTAGATTTTTTTATTTTTTTTTACTGGACATGTTTTATAGAAAAAAGTCCAAAATATTCGTTTTTTTTCTCAAAATTGTCTCAAAACACTGTACCCATATGAAATGTTTATAATTTTTTTTGAGACAGATAGAGCTTTCTTTTGGTGGTATTTAATCACCTCTGGGTTTTTTATTTTTTTCTAAACAAACCAAAAACAACTGAAAATTATGGAAAAAAATGTTTTTTCTTAGTTTTTGTTATAAAAGTTTGTAAATAAGTGATTTTTTTTCCTTCACTGATGTGCACTAATGAGGCTGCAGTGATGGGCATTGATAGGTGGCACTGATGGCCACTGATGAGGAGGAACTGGTAGGTGGCACTGATGGGCATTGACAGGCATCACTGATGGGCACTGAAAGACAGCACTCATATATGGCACTGATAGGTGGTACTGATAGGTGGCACTGATAGGCGGCACTGACTGACACTGTTAGATGGCACTGACTGGCACTGTTAGGCGGCACTGATAGGCAGCACTGACAGGCACTGATAGGCGGCACTGATGCGCACTGATAGGTGGCACTGACTAGCACTGATAGGCGGCACTGATAGGCGGCACTGATTGGCAGCACTGATAGGTGGCACTGACTGGCATTGATAGGTGGCACTGACTGGCACTGATAGGTGACACTGAAAGGCAGCTCAGATGGGCACTGATATGTGGCATTGACGTGCACTGGTAGGCACTGATGTGTGACATTGATGTGGCACTGATGGGCACTGGCAGGTGGCATTGATGAGCACTGACAGTTGGCATTGATGAAAACTGACAGGTGGCACTGCTGGGCCTGCACTGATCATCAGGGCACACTGATCATCAGTGCCCTGATCATCAGTGTACATGTCCTCCCTGAGGAATGCCGATTACCATCTCTCCACTCCTCAGGAGCTGTTAGCATGACAGCTCGTGAGGAGAGAAATGCCGATAACCGGCATTTCGCTATGTACATGTGATCAGCTGTGATTGGACACAGCTGATCACATGACTGAGCCGACATCTTCGGCTCTTTCCGTTGATTGGTGATCCGCTGTTTCCATCATTCAGAGGTGTTTTCCAAACGTCCCGTGTACATGGAGCCTAAGGGTTCTTTACTGTTGGAGCAGTAAGGATGTAGAACGCCCTTCCACTGTTGGTGGTGTCAGTGGATAATTTGAATACATTCAGAAAACCTTTAGATGTGTCCCTTAGTGAATACAATATACAGGGATATTGAGAATGGTAGTGACATAAGCACACACACTCAGGTTGCACTGGATGGACTGGTGTCTTTATTCAAGCTTAACCTATGTAACTATATGTATCTATGTAACTATATGGAACACTAGCTATATCTGCTATAGGTAGACAGATGACATTTGTGCTCTAGACTTGCATATTAGGTAGCATACTTAGTAGTACAGTGTTTTAGAAGGTAGTATTTTGATCTTGCAGCACTGAAATCAATGGATCAGTTTTTGCCAGGTACAATACCTGAGTGTTCACCTTGTGTTCATACAAGTTTCTTCAATATGTTCTGTCTTCTTTTCCCAATTTAAAACATGTTGGTAAATGAATTCCATCCTAATGAGGCCTAGTCCTATGTGCATTTGTGTAGCAGGGGCTGTAATTGCAATTTGGCAGATGCAGTATTTTGTAAGTGGCTTAGTTGTACTTGTGCCAAATGGTGGCACTTTAGAAACAGAATCTTTTGTCAAGCGTAAAGATGAAAAAAAAAAACATCTACAGTATTTAATATTGATTGTAATATGTGAGATTAAATCATATTTCAAAGCTTCTTTTTCTGAACTGGCTGAACATATGTAAGCCGTGTACCAGGGTGGGCTCCCCAGGATACAGTGAAGTCACGAACGAGGAAAGCAACTCCAACACCAGCTTTTGCCACAACAGAATTTTAGTTTTATGTGGCAAATAAACACAACCACAAATGCTGGAACATACAATAAATTTACATACACCCAGCCAAAAGGCCGAGACCCTTGTGTTGCACAGCACGGCGCCTTCTGATGGATGAAGGTAGAAAGCAAAGTAATTTAAGTAAGAATCAGTGTATGGGTGTATGGTATGGGCTAGCCTGCAGTGCAGCACAACAGCTTACAATCTTACACAAATCTACAGTATTCCCCCTCCCATAACTGGTCCTGTAGCACGTGCCTGAGTATTCCTTCTGAGCAAAACGCCAGTCTGGCTTGAGTTTGTAGGATGTTATCAGCTCTCCAATGTGAAATGTCACTTTAAGTTGTGGAGTCCTTCCAATAATCAGTAACAACACCTGTGGGCTGACACAAACAAAGACCCTAACTAACTAACTATAGGCCTGGACTCAGTCTCCAAGGCGCCAACACTGAAATGAGGTGCGTGCACAATCTTACCGACCCGGGTCTGCTTTTCATACGCTGGTGACTCTGAACAGAACAAATGTCTCTCCAACAAGCTTGCGATATTGTAGTGTATGCTGCGTTGTTCCTCTGCTCTCATCAGCATTACTGGCAGCAATCTTCCTTTCTCTGAACAGGATCAGGGTCTTGGACATGATCAGCTTCACTTAGCTTCAGCTATGGTTACTGAGGGAAGCTCCCACACCTGGATGTCATCGGATTCTCAGCTCACACGGCCCCTTCATTCATCATCGTTCAAAACAAGGCTGCAGTCTCCTCTTCCTGTTCACTCTAACTCTGTGTGAAAACTCCACCTCTTTATGAATATACAAATATCTATGCAGTCTGAGGCTGTGTTAGAAAAACAGTGACATCTTGTGGCTAAACCGCAGAATGTCAGTCAAAACATTAATTTACTTCCACACAATCAGTTTTCAAACAATGAGAGCTGTTTCCTCATCTCACAACTACATTTCCATGTACCCACTAAATATGATGCTATGAATATTATCTTTGGTGGGCTGACCATGGTGTTAACATATTCAGTATTCGATAATTGGGTTAGTCTTCAAGAGTCTGTATAGACAGCTGTATACGAATGGATTAGGGCAATCTAAGTCCCAATCACAGCAATAAATGGCACCCCACAAAAGTAGATTCACACTAGACAGAGCTATAAAAAGTGTGCTTTTCAAACCATGGCTAAACAGTTGGTGTCAAATGTTCAGGAAGCGATCCTACCAAATCCTGAATGCTTTTTTTTTAGTCTGCCGAATTACAGTTTATAATGGGGATAAAGTGCCACATCCGTGAACCAAACAGTTGGCTTGTGGTTGCAGGGAGGCCCCTCTCTCTTGAATGCCCCAATTTGATAAGTGGTGTCATCTGTCAACTTGGCATGTCACATTAAGTTTGCCATGGCTGTTGTTTATCCTTTAGGTTGCTGGACGAGGGAAGGTAAAACCATGGCTCAGTCACCTGTTCCTTCTGCCCCTGTGTGAAAGAGACATTCGGATTGCTAAAGTACTAGTTATAAAATACAATTACCATTTTAAATAAAATTACTTGTTTTCAGCTTCATCCCTTTTATCCTAGTGCTCCCAGTCTACTCCAGCCTCTTTGTAGCTACTTCCTATCTCTATACATGCAATACAGTATGGACTGTATGGTTTTAATCATGGTAGTTTCCCTAGTGACAGCAGCAGAACATATCATATTAGCAAAATGTGTGTTTGCCAATTGTAGCCTCCATTGGGAAAGTGTGTGACAGAGGGACAAGCAAAATTGGAAGACAGGAACAGAGGTTGTTACCATATGACAGGAAATGTCTAAAGGAAGACATGCATAGGAGGATCAGCAGTATTATTTTAATGAAAGCTGTAGATTTTAAAATATTCAAAATTATGTAAACCAGCTCAAGCTTATATGGGATTTTATTGAATGAATTAACACATATTTTAAATTTACCATACATTTTGGCCTTTTTATATGTACATTAGACATGAGATTGTGTTCCATAGGTACAAAGAATTAAAGTTTAGCAGCCACTGCGTGTTTTTACTTGGTGAGATTAAAAAGCAAACAATATCAGTAATTATACATTTTATTAAAATTGCATGCAGTTATAGTTAGGCAACCTAAAATGTTACTGTGTATTTTATATACTATAGATTGTGAGGATGGCTGTTCCCCTTTAAATCAGTAAGCTGAGGCCCTTTTAGGCACACATATCATTATCATGTAAATCCCCTTCAAATGAAGCTCCAGGACAATAGATTCTATTGATGTTTGTCTGACAACTCCTCTCCAGGGAGTCTGAAGGCCAGAGCTGCCACTTCCAGGATGCTGTTCTCTCTCAACTGTCTCTTTTACGATATCCTTCTTGGTGAAGTAATACCTAGAATAACAGGATATTGCACAACCTTATTATAGAACTTTGTGAAAATGTCTGCTGGACAGGACAATGCAAAGAATGTTTTTTTCTACTCAGTAAATTTGACTGATGACAAGCCGCCTTGTGTAGACAAAAGGCAAGTTGGAACTATCCTTCATAAAATATAGAATTTTGTGTGCCAAAACAAATATAGTCTATGGAACAGAGCATGCTACTTGTAACCAGAATCATTCAATATCTGATCAAGGGCTTGTTCACATGAGCAGCCAGGGGCGTTAAAACCAGGTATTTTTTTACTGCCCTCAACCACCCACCTGAACAAAGGCATGCACTCTCAGGGTTGTACACATGCAGTGACCATGAAGCAAGGTAAAAATTAAACACCTTTCAGCTGTTGTTACCAACACCGAATGCTACCCAATCAAATGAATTTGTCCTATCCATAACTGCTTTGCAACCATGTGTTTTGTGCCATTTTGAAGGTTAAAACATAATTCCTCCTCATTGGCTGTCAAATGCTGTGTTAGAGTACTGTCATTCACACAGGTGTGAGGCCACTAGCAAGATACAATTTTACTAAAATCATTTTTTAAAAATTAGATTAAAGTGTTACTAAGCCCAGGACCCTGCATTCACTAGATCTGGTCTCCCGCAGTACACACAACATGAAAGTGCAATTATTTTAGTAAATATAAACTGATAAATACCTTTTCTCATCAGCAGTTAGAGCAGTCTTGTGACTTCAGCTGAGCACTGGTTAAAACATGTAGGAGGAGTTTTCTTTCTGCTCTAGGAGGATGCAGAACCCCTGTCCTCTGTCTGGACAGTGCTGATCACATACACTCTACCAAGAAAAAACCTCTCTAGCAATACACACTAAACTGAGCATATGCAGAAGGGCTACGGGCAGGGGCAGACTGACAACTCATGGGGCCCCCGGGCAATAGGGGATCATGGTCCCTGTGTCCTTGCCCAAACTCAAAAAAGTCTATGAAAAAGGTACCAGGGGCATCTCATGGGGCCCCCTACTGACCGAGTTTCCAAATGGTCAGTCCGCCCCTGGTTCACTCTGTCTTATCACTGTGGACATTTGAACAAGAGGAAGGGCAGAGAAGTCAGAATCAAACATCCTTTTTACACAATGCAGAGGTTTAACCCCTTAGGTTCCACAGTGAGTATAACAAGCATGCTTTACTGCATATACAGACTGATTTTACTGTTATGGGTTTAGTAACACTTTAAGGCCTTATTCACATGGGCACTGAGGTCCGTACACCTTGAATCAGCCATTTAAATATGTGGCTAGAGCCACTAGGTGCTGTATGCAGGTAGCCCATGTAAATCTATAGGAAGCAGCGACTGCACAGACACCACATATTCTCATTTTACAAGCATGCAGGTGGGGATGAACAGCCCCAAATGCACACAGTGGGGGGAGATTTACTAAAACTGGTGTACTCACAATCTGGTGCAGCTGTGAATGATAGCAAATCAGCCTCTAACTTCAGCTTGTTCAGTAGAGTTTTGCAATAAAACCTGGAAGTTGATTGGTTTCTCTGGCAAGATACACCAGATTTTGCATGCTCCTGTTTTAGTAAATAATGCCCTGTGTTTTTGGAGCTGCTCATCCATACTGCCATGCCTTTCAAGTTAGAATAAGTGACTGTTTCTATACAGCTGCGTCCCCATAGAATAAAACCTGGTACACTCCATGAGAATATAGGATGAATAATTG